ATAGAACACGCTGCTGCACTGTCGTTGGTTCGTACTGGTCGGCTAGGTTATAAGGTAGTGGAAACTCACACCTTCTCTACAGTAGTTTACAATTTTGTTTTAACGAATACCACTTTTTTACTAGAGGTTCGTAAAATACAGTAGACGTTTTATTAAACAAGCCTTTCCATTGTGTGACGTCGATGGCCTGAAACTGGCTGGCTGTTTATCTGGCTCTAACTTGGCATCGATCGCAATTAGGGGATTATCGTATCATGTTTCAAGATGGGTATATCTAGATAAAGTTCGACGTGAACCAGGCTAACAAGGTAATACAGTAGTACTTTCAGAGGCATTAATGACCTTTTGTTAACATTAAGTTCTACCAGCAACAAAGAACCGCTATTACTATGCTATGTAGACCAACATCGATCCATGTCTGGAATCTAATACCTAAAGAATTCTCAAAGGAAATTAAGAAAATATCAAGGTGGCAATACTAAACTAAAAAACCCAAAAAACAACTCTTCTTTGTTTTTATAAAAGGTTGTTTGTATTACTATATTTCTTTAATATCTGTTTATTCAATGTAAGTCTAACCTACTGCATTACAAGTTAATTGAACAAATCCTTTACAGAATTTGCCCAATGCTTTATTAAAAATTGTGGTATCATTCTTTTCCCAAGGCCAAGGCCAAGTTTATCTTTAATAATGGAAGTAACACTGTAACATTTGTATAGCACTATTTCATTAATATCAGATTACTTTTTATTTATTTTTTTAATATATTACTTAATAGCCTGTAGTAATGAAATAATTCTAACTTAAGACAACAAGGAAATAAGGGAAAAACACACCACCACACCATTCCCCAGTAACTTAAGGCACAAGGCCAGCCTGGACAGTCGGATGTGGTGCACTGAAATATATATTCTATGTATCAGACCCATCACTATGCTTGAGAGTGTTGATTATCAGAGTTCTATGTGTTTGATAAAGGAATGAAATCTTTTTTGATGTATACAGAAGCCTTGAGGTAAGAGTACAATTACTTATAATTTGAGTAGGAATTTGAAGGTGAAAAAGATAAAAAATATAAACTGTTAGGGTAATTTCCCTATATTGTAAGCTTTTAATTTAGGCTTTATCATGTGAGAATGTGATTTGGTTCAGCTATGTTCACATAGTTTTCACACTTCAGACTTGGAGAGTGTTTATGTTTAATTATTACATTACGATTACAGTATTGCCACACAGAGACTAGCTGAATCTGACTTATGAGTGACAATGTCAACATTTCACAAAATATGCATTTAAAATAAACAAACTATCTAAAATATTTATGAAATGTGCCCTTCAATTAAATTTGTATTTCATTTGCTGTATATTTGTGGTGTTTTTTTTACTTTTTTATGGTAATCTTTATAATGCTTATGAATTATCTGTACAGCAACTACATTTGAATGCATTTTTATAATTGAATATCTTAAATCTAATTGTTTAAAAAATATTGTTATTGTAATCTATTATACAGTATAAATTTTATTATATTTTGTTAGATGGGGGTTGGAGAGCCACATTGGATTAATTTTGCTATTGGCAATCCGGTCCACCGCCAGCAACCTGATGGTGAGAGATCAATTGGAAGGGGCAAGGGAACCAGAGGGACCTAGATTGAGTGAGGAATCCACAGGAATGGGAGATCTAATAAAAACTATCCAGAAAGAGGGCAGAAGGATCTATAGGGAATGGAGATCCAAAGTGATCATACAGGAATGGTTGAAATATCCAAACGAAGGGTATAAACTAATTCCCCACTATCAAATTTATATGACAAATTAGTGTGATGTGCCCATGATTATGTGTATGATGATGTCATGTTACTCCCAAATATGGGCATATCACAGTTTCTTGTCATATAGTGTGGACAAAGCTGTAGGATCTAATAGCAGATAACTAAATCCTGTGCCAAGATGGAGAATCATTAGGGAACCAAAGGCTAATGGGAGGGTAGGAAAATTCAGAGGGAAAGAAGGCATCAAAAGGAGAGTGTGGGTATACACCATTCTATCGCATCTATTTTGAAACAGTGCCACCGACAACTTTTCGATGGGGGACACACAGCAGCCTAGCCTGAGCAATTTTGTTTTGCCAGACATATCTTCTTTTGAGTATAATCAAAAACACTGCAAGTTTTATGTGTCCCTATTTTCTTTTTTTTTTGTTTTTAATTTTTTTTTTTTTCAAAGACTAGCCGTCTAGAAGGTCGCGCACCAGTCACAGAAAACAGATAAACACTGGTAACTACGTAGAATGAAATGCCTAGGCCTCTCGATGTCCCCCAGTGGTAGCTGGCAGGTTTTCGGAAATTTTCATTTCAAATTTAGCGAATATGGTTTATAGATCATGGAGAAAAGATTATGCATTTTTTCATTTCCCAACTACAATACTGTCCCAAAGCTAGAGAAAATAGCCACCTGTTTGAAAATAACACTCACAGATATTATGATTTAATAACGACGATGTTGCTAATACAATTTATGCTTACAGTTATAATTACATTCATATCAACAATCATTTTTTTAATTTACAACCATAAATTAGTTAAAGCCCCATTCCCGGCAAAATTTCAGTTTTTAAGAAAAATCTAATTTTTGTATAATGTTATAAAGATTTATAAATATAATACGGAATTGCTAGTTTAACTGAATTTAGACATTCCTCAGAATGAAAAAAATGTAAAATAAGACTGAAATTTGATTTTTTTTGTGTTCCACACATGTTGATTTTGCGATAGGTCGTGAGAAGAAATATCGTAGGCGCCGAAAACATTAGCCTATCCAACGCTGCTCTCATTAGCCTATCCAACGCTGCTAGGCTAGGCCTAGCCTTACCTCGATTTAGGTTCTGTTATCACACATAAAAACGGCCGACATGACAGATACTTCCTGGAATGCCACATGCCAAATACAATAAGAACTTTGACAATGCCAACAATCAATTTACCTGAAATTCCAAAATGGATATACACTGAAATGAGATGATTATGATTGACAATGGGCCAATACAGGTACTATTGCACAAGTGTATCACTTACCTTTAATAACATTTGTCATTGACAACTATGACATATGGATCATATCATCTTCTAGCTATCACATAATAATGAGTATAATGATGAACTTAACCATAATAAAATAACAATGCTAATAAAAATAATAAAATAATAATAATAATACTGTATAATAACAATGAAATTAGTAATAAAAAAAAATTTAAATATTAGAATAAAAACATTACATTTTGACTTTCAATTTCAAAGAACCTCTAATTTGTTATTTAATTTGAAACCACCCTGAATTTTAAGGTGGTCTGAAATTTGGGGGGGGGGGGGCAAACATGTAATATAGATATAATGTGAACATATGTAGGAATCCTAACACATGGTGCCAAAATTGGGTACAAACCTCATATCATTAAAAACCATAAGAGTAACAAAAATGATAATAACACTAATGATAAATAATATAAAAATTAATATTTCAATGAACAATAAAGATAATATTAATGATAATGATAATGATAAAGATATAGATAATAACAATAATACTAATAAAATATAAATTGTCCTTATAGGGACAGTCACCCTTACTCTTTATAGAAGTCTTTGGGCGGACTGAGTGATGTTGGTGATAAAGGTGTGTCCATCTTCTGCAGTAGCGCTGCAGTACCGATCCCTCTTACTACAATACCAGACTCTCCTTCTAAATCAAAACACTGCCAATACCTGAAATATTAAAGCAAACTGCAAACTTAAACTGCTTTTTTTGGTGCAAAAATGGATAGATATATACTGAAATAATGCCCCTTAATTTCCACTGTAAATGTGGAATCACTACACATAATTACCGCCAAAATTTGTTATTGCATGATCATAATCTTAATGTTCCTAACCAGGTTACAGTAGAATAAATGTAAATCCATTGGAGTAGAACATTAATAGAATGTGTTGACAATCATGTTGCTTCCATCGGTTTTTTTTTAGTCATTTAGGAGAGGGTTTGGGGGCGAGGGGCATTTATTCAAGGAAAAAATAAATGCCCCAGGGCATTTATTCCAAATGAGCTCTGGAGGAGCGTTTATTTAAAGCGGGGCATTTATTCGAATAAATATGGTATGTTATAATCACCATTATATATTTTTCCATTATACATGTACCTTTACATATATAGGTTCATTAAACTAAACATCCATATTATGTAAACCATAGATAATATTAAATGGAAATAATATTGAATGAATAAATAATATATAAATAAAACATAATCAATATGTTTGAGTTAGCAGTAGTAGCAAGTAAAAATGGATACTTACCCAAGTACAGCATTTCCTCCAATTTCGAGAACTTTTAGACCAATTTTCCTTTGTAACTGTCCAGAAATCTTCGAAAATAACAGCTGCCTTGCTTCGTTCGATGCTCTTGGCGTTCGTATTTTATCAATCCACTGCAAAAATCAAAGTGTATGCTAAAATAAGGCTTAGTGAATTGGTCTCTAAGACCAATGAAGCTGTCTTGAGGACAGCGGAAGCTACGGAAAAAAGTTAAACCTGGACTATTAAAGGTATCTGCTCACAATAATATGTAAATAATAGTCAAGTAACAACCTCCATTCAATTACCAAATTTGGGTTAAATATCATTTTTATGTATTTTTGTTGAGTATAATTAAAAAAATGTACATTAAAAAATAAATGCTATAATAAGAGCCTTCATACAGAGCTGTATATACTCTGCAGAAACTTCAAAATTCTGATGCTAGACTCATTTTTTTCTTGTAAGGCACGCACTCATACCTCTCCCTTTATTCGTGAACTTCATTGGTTGCCTGTTCAAGAAAGAATTCAACTATAAACTTCTTATCTTTGTTTTCAAATCACTCTCTGGATTCTGCACTTTCTTATTTCCAATAAGATCTTCCAACTCCATCCAACTTGTTCGACCAGTCTACCATAAACATATTGGTAACAATTTCCTTCAATTGCAGCTCAACTTTGGAATGTCCTGTAAAATTTTCTCAGGCCTTGCAATTCGGATGGGCAATTCAAGGCCCATCTAAAAATACACCTATTTCAATAGTCTCCTTTCACAAAGATCTTATTTGTTTATTTTTTGTTTGTTTTATTTTTCTATCAAACCTGTTTGCTTCAAGTTACTGCTTTATTGCATTATTCAAGTTTGAACTCTTTGTTTGGGTTTGATTTGTATACAACTTGGCAAGGGGGGGGGGGATTTTTTGACTTATTGTGGCGAGTGAAGGAGAAGCGCTATATAAGTCAGGTAACAAGTACAGCCTTCATCTAGTGCATGGAATATGACTGTACTAATTGCAACCCCGACGACCAACACCACAACTTGGTTTGTGATTGTCAATCCCTAATACTGAGGTCTAAAATTTTCAATTTTTAGCAATCCAAGACCGTACAATCTCTCCCCATATACCCCATTAAGAATTCTATTTCACAACTCTGAAAAAGGTGTAAGCCCACCCCTGATTCAGACCGAGCTGTCAAACTTGTTGGACCCCTATCAACAAATTTGTGGACCAACCACTGACGAATAATTAAAAGAAAAGACTAACCTGATATTCTGGGTCATCATTGACGACTAGCTCCTCTACAAATCCAAGGACAGACGACATGGTGTGTCGTGCTGGTACCTGGCTAGCTACAAATTAAATATTTAAAAAAATAAATAACATTTTATATTGAAAATGGATATTATTTTATAATTACTACAAATTTGTTACAAAGTGCTATGTAACCAAAAAAGGCATTATATAAATGAAATTAATATAAAATAAGTTAATAACATATATCTATAAAATACTGTATGTTAAGTCGGGTGCTCACTTGTGTGTGTATTTTTCGTTGATACGATTCTAATTCTACAGTGAGTGACTTATATATTATTTAAAATAGTTTATATGAATGATTGTTCAAAGCACATGTTAAATAGTATGCAAATAATTACTGGGTTGAGGGACATAGGTTAAAACATAGCCCACGGTGATCTGGAGATTATACTACATAGTAGGCCTATAGCCTCCACACTACCAAGGGCTATATTTTAAACTACGACCTGATTAAACCCAGTAAACAGTTGTTTTAAATACCCTTACTGGTACATAGATTGTAGACATTAGAAGGCATGGCTGGAATTATTGCCCAGCTTTTAACCAATTAAATGCCTGGAATCTATGTAGTTGGTATATAAAAGGATATACTATGTGTTCAGCAGAGAAACTAGAAGTGAAATTGATTATTCGCTGTCAATTGAAATTTGTAGATAATTTTACATAAATATCTCATACAAGAAATCGATTGTTTACATATATGATATACTGTAGCAAATATTATACACATAAAATAAATATATCGCAGGTTGCTCCAATACGTACTGCTGAAGAACTGCACACCACAAGATGATTGTCGGAATTTGTTCAGGTCAGGGAAGAGTTCAACGGAAACAACCACGTTCATTTCACCCCTAACCCCATGCATCGTGTCATAGATTGGAAACCAACCAGATATGTTGGAGGCACCCTCATTCCATAGAAGAGGATTTAAGTCTATATACAACTGATAAAAAAGGAAAAGAAACTATATTATTATTTATTATTAAATGTTAATCAATTTAAAGGTTTCTTAAAAGGTCAATCAATGAATTTGATTTTCTTTGGTTATTTTTTTAAAACTTTATATAGGGAAAATATCCAGCCGATTAAATAAACGAATGAAACTGGGTAAAGACAACTTGATTACTTGCTTCGAACAAGGTATCGATTCGTAGAAGTCTTATGAAGATAAGCCTATTTGAGAGTGATTCTAGAGTGGTCGAGACCAGGGCATATCTCCGAATTTAAACTGAACAAAGATTGAAATATGTTAACTATAGAAAAAATGTATACACAAAGACCGGTCCAAAAAAAAATTAAATTAAAATAGGCATGTATGTGTAGGTAATCTGTTAATTATGAATAAAAATAACACAAATTATGAAAGAATAAACGAAGAAGGAAGAATAGGAAAGAACCTTGGAGTGGCTGAAATATAATTGAAGTGCCCTTAATTTCTTAGTCAGAATCCTATTATTTTTCATATTGTGTATACTTTGCATATTATTTAGGATTATTACATATCTTAGCCATATCATTCTTAAATCTTTTGGAAATTAAAATGTTTCTCTTCTATGATGTAAAAACAATGTAAAATAATAAAGTTTCTTATAACACAGACATAATTCAAAATGTTTACTTACTTTTCCAATAACATCATGGGCACTGTAGGTATCATAATCCATCACTCTAAAAATATAATTATACTATGTCAGTATTACAGAGGGTTTTAGGGCAAGGCCTCTGTGCACTTGATAATATTACATTCATCATGAGATCAAACACATAGAACACCTACTCAATGCCCTGGGGGTTATAACTATCAATCAAAACATTGTAATTTAACCTGCGGGAGCCACAGTGCAGCGCCACCCAACTTAACTACAAATATTTAACGGATACAAACATTGTCCTTAACCTGCCTAACTCTCAATGTGAGAGTTAATCGAGGAGCCAAGCGATCAGACTCCCAAGTAAAACCTGAGGCTGGACAGAATTCAACCATGGAGGTATTATTGAGAAGATCACTCGAAAAAGCTACGCGCATGCAGCGCTATGCAAATGAACAAAGATCAAAGCTGCCGCAGCGCGTTAAGAACGTTTGCGCGATGCCTTTGAAATCCGATGTGTTCCCCGCCATCAAATTTGTAGCAGGCATAGTTTACCAAAAAATTGAACATGGCAAAATGGAGAGCACCTTCTTTTCTCGATGCGCACTACATACAGTCAATCACTATGGCTGCGCAATCGTTTCCATTTTGAAGCTGATACATTTATCTCTCATAAAATATCAAACATATTAATATTTCCACCATAAAAAGTTTCAAATTTAATGGAACATTTACATGACCTTTAAAAGTATAGTATATTTCAACTTTTCAAATTTTCATAAATTGGCCAAAATTCGCTAATTCTAATTTTAACAGATTTTAATTAATAAATGATTGAGGATTATAATAAACTAAGTCATTTTAGGGTTAACGAGGGTTAACTATTCGAAAAATCAATCCAAAATCTGAGTATTTTTCAGTTTTACGCTGACTTAGCTTTATGGTCAAACCAATTGATCTTAAGACAAAATTATAATGAACACAGACGTAATTTCAACAGAAATATTTTACGGAATCCGTTCCTGAAATATACAAATAATAACATACCAAAAGTCCGAAAAAATCTAATCAGGGGAACATTGTTCATTATAAAGATATTTAATGGATTAAAATCAAATGCTTTATTGCGCAACTGCTCTGCTGAAAGCGTATAAATGCATGTCGTTGCCAAGTTGTTGCTAACGAAAAAATGTGAATTGTAGGGTAATACGCCCGCGCGCGATCCAAAGGCGGGGAACACATAGGTTTGTCGCGTCAAAGGGATCTGTTGCCGAGTGATCTCCTTCTCAATAATACCTCCATGTTTCAACCAGTCTTCAATGCAAGAAGCAGGAACCATACCTCTCAGCATGATACTTAGTGATGGATGATGACAGATGATTATAATGATGATGAATGATGGTGGATGATAATGATGGATGATGAAAAGATTGCCAAATAATGATGATGATAAAAATAATGATGTCATGATGATGGTCATGATTGATGATGATAATAATGGTTGGTGATGATGATGATGATGATGATGATGAGGATTGTACATTATGGTAATGACGGAGAAGGATGATGATGATGATGATGGTGAAGTTACAGTAGATGATTATACTGTAATAACGTTGGATGATGATGATGATAAAGATTGCTGATGATGATGATCATGGATGATGATGGTTGTGCATGATGATGAATGGCAAAGATGGAGAAATGATGATGAAGAATGATGAAAATAGTGAGATCACCTCAAATTTATACCAATCTGTATTCCACTGAGGATTTAAGGATTTCCGGCACACCTCTGTTTTGTGAATGTCCTGACCAAACTTAACCTACAAGATAAATAGTCCACAGTGTGTAAGGCGTGTAAGGGAAAAAAGCTTTTAGAAAATTAAGAAATAAAAAAAAACCCAAAATTTTGGAAAGTATAATGAGTGTACAATCTCCTCAGCGTCTCTCCTCCTGTTATCAAAGACCTCTGTTCGTCTTAAACCTATGGATGCCTGACTGACCTCAACAAATGCATCAGCTAAGTCACTGGCTCTGTCCATAATGGGCAGGTCTCGGGCAGCTATTATTCGAACCTTCAGTTTTCCAGGCATTTTGTGTGTCTCTGATCAACCTAAGGATACACAAAAGAGAAACATGTCGAATGAATTTTGAAATGGCAATTGCCCTACCCACTGTAGACAAATTTCTGAAGCCTCTAGGACTAGTTTAGGCCTACTTGTAGGCCCATGAAAACAGGCCAGGGCACTACGGTCGGTGGGAACCCCCAGTTTAGGCCTCTTTGTCTTACTTGGCCAGGCCTAACCTACTAATGGGTGACAGACAACTGGGCCCAGGATGATCGGGTCCATTTCCAGACAAGCGGGCCCCACTAGTGTTGATAATCAGGCCCACGCCAGAAATATTGGGTCCACCTAGCGCGGACTATCTGGCACAATTTCATTCTGATTACCGATTCATGGAAAAGGTGTAAGATGTCAAAAAACCCAAGTCGGTAACAAGTCCATAACTTTCCGGAAAAGGTTATGAAAAGATTATTCTACACAACTACCGTATGTGATTAGAAAAAAATTGAAATTTTTTTACCTCTGAAATAATGGAAAAAGAAGAACCGATCTAAATAGTGTATTTAAATATCAGGGGCGGATCCAGTATGAAGGCACGGTTGCCCCCCCCCCCATTTTGCCACTAAATTTTAAAATGTTCAATGAAAAACAATGTTATGTGCTACTCACTTACCTATTATGAGACTGTTTGTCTCATAATAACAAATTTTTAAATAACATGAGGTCAAGAATTTAGCCACAAAGCTTATCTTATTTTTGTTGGTTATGCACCACTGACTTGGGTTGTTTATCACACTTTAATATGTCTACCAATTCATGGAAAAGGCATATTCATTGTGTTCTAAATTTATTTTACTAATATTATTAAGAATCGTATTTAAAGTGATCATATATATATATATATTTCGGTATATTCAAACATTAACAAATACAAAAACAGTCATGGCCCTGGGCTGAAAAGATTTTGCCTACTTTTACAATCGGGCCCATCATGACGACCCACTTTCAACGTTGGCCCAACCGTCTTGAAAATGGGCCCGATCGTCCTGGGTCCGATCCAATGCCGTAGCCAGCTATTGGGACAGTTGGGACAGTACCACACAATTTTCCTAATGGGTCCAAAAAGAATGGGTCCACATTTTTAAAAATAGGTCCAAATTATGTAATTTTATGCATAGATTGGGTCCACTTTTTGAAAAATTGGTCCAGATTTCTCATATTTAGTTTAAAATGGGTAAAAAAATGGGTCCAGATTTTTAATATTTTTGCGTAAAATGGGTCCACATTGATTGAATTTACGTGTAAAGTAGATCCACCCTGATATTGTCCCGCACTCTTTGAAAATCCTGGCTACGGCATTGTCCGATCATTTTTGTTTTGGGTCCAATCATTTGTTATTCCTACTTGGGCCTAGCCCCTAGACCTATAGTAGTAGTACTACTACTAGGCCTAACCTAACTAAGCTTAAAAGCCTATGCCTGCGCCTACTCCTTATAGGGCCTCTATTACGAGACTGTTTGTGCCCTCCGGTTTGAAGAATTCTTGATCCGCCCCTGAATATACCTACAGTACAGTACAGCAATACTCTTTCAGTTACCATATGACGGAGAGATTTTCCTAACGATGTGACTCCTTTTTCCATTTATAAAAAATTTCTCTTATTGTAAATTACAAATTATTTTTTAAAAGAAGTATAGCACTGTAATTCATGGATTTTCAACATAGAAAAATCTCTAAGTCATATGGTAACCTGAAACAGTACTAAAGTAGTAGATACTACTGTACTGTATGTACTGAAGGCCTGTTTAAATACAGTATTTATCTATATCTGCTTTTCTTTTCCCATCTTTATTTCAGAGGTCAAACAATTTTTTCAATCACATGGTGTAGCATAGTCTTTTAAGAACATTTTCCTGAAGAAAATATTAGCATACGAGCCTCCTTTATGGAGTTACAAATTTTTAAATACTGTAACATGAGGACAAGAATTTAGCCACAAAGCTTATCTTAGTTTTGTTGGTTATGCACCACTGACTTGGGTTGTTTATCACACTTTAATATGTCTACCAATTCATGGAAAAGGCATATTCATTGTGTTCTAAATTTATTTTACTAATATTATTAAGAATCGTATTTAAAATGATCATATATTTATTTATTTCGGTATATTCCAACATTAACAAATACAAAAACAGTCATGGCCCTGGGCTGAAAAGATTTTGCCTACTTTGACGATCGGGCCCATCATGACGATCCACTTTCAAAGTTGGCCCGACCGTCTTGAAAATAAGCCCAATCGTCCTGGGTCTGATCCAATGCCGTAGCCAGCTATTGGGACAGTTGGGACAGACCCACACAATTTTCCTAATGGGTCCAAAAAGAATGGGTCCACATTTTTAAAAATGGGTCCAAATTATGTAATTTTATGCATAAAATGGGTCCACTTTTTGAAAAATTGGTCCAGATTTCTCATATTTAGCTTAAAATGGGTAAAATTTAAGAAAATGGGTCCAGATTTTTAATATTTTTGCGTAAAATGGGTCCACATTGATTAAATTTATGTGTAAAGTAGATCCACCCTGATATTGTCCCACACTCTTTGAAAATCCTGGCTACGGCATTGGTCCGATCGTTTTTGTTTTGGGTCCAATCATTTGTTATTCTTACTTGGGCCTAGCCTAGACCTATAGTAGTACTACTACTAGGCCTAGCCTAACTAGGATTAAAAGCCTATGCCTGGGCCTACTCCTTATAGGGCCTCTATAGCCTAGGCCTAGTAGTAGTAGGCCAGTCTCTGGCCCAAAGGTATCACATGCTAGCACACCGCATTGTGCAGCATAGGCCGGTAGCCGATCATTTCGGTCGCGCTTCGTTTCGGTCGCGCTTTGTTTCGGTTGCGCTTCGTTTCGGTCGCGGTATATTTCGAACAAATATATGGAGTGCCGAAGGAGTTGCGAAAACAAAAAATTTAATATGCCTAGGCCCTATATATTTTAGTTCGTGAATCGGTTTATCATAGGCCTAAATATTATTGTTTTGCTATCTTTCCACTAACAAAATATCTTTCTGCTATATTCTCTTTCTTCCATTTACGGTGATATAAATTCATGATTGCAACATGATCTTGTAATTGAAACAATGGAAATTAGTATAATAATAATAATAATAATAATATTTATTAAGCGCACATCTCCACTAAAGTGCTCAAGGCGCTTCATGCTATTCTTTTTGTTGCGTTTTCATATACTATACTTTAATAAATGGTCAATAAAATGCATCTTTGATTTTAATTGAATTGAATATTGTTACCATCTGAAATCTATTTCATAATTTAGTTAAAACAATAATCATTCAACATTTAAGCTGATCAATATATTTATTTTTCTTGCAGCTTCCAGAGTTTGGATAAAAATACTAAGAGAATTGAAGGAAACACGAAGAAATAAACGAATAATACGCACATTATCATTCACTTGAAATCTTGAATACCCCTGCGCAGTTCATAAATATGAATATATATTTATATGTATATATACACATACATATATATATATATATATATATATATATATATACACATATATATATACATATATATATATATACCATTTATTATATCATATATATCATTAGTGGTCGTGGGACTAGTTTGGGCCCTACCTAAGCTGGTTGAACATTTCGTTTGGGTCTGTACCCTAGCTGTACTGATGAGGCCTGGAAGGCCGAAACGGATCCGTCTGCAGATATGAAGAAGGCGTGTCCACGTGTGTTTCGAAACATATGTAGAATATAATATAACGTAACCGTAAAGAAACTCAAATACGTAAGATGTTGACGTTAGAAACACTAAAATTTATTTAGCGAATATTTCGGCTACTCCTGTAGTCTTTGTCAACGCTTGACAAAGACTACAGGAGGAGCCGAAATATTCGCCTAATAAATTTTAGTGTTTCTAAAGTCAACATCTTACGTATTCGAGTTTCTTTACTGTT